CTCAACTGCAGCAAAACTGGTGTGTTCCACAGCAGACGCAGGACGACGTTCAGTGATTTGGGTCGCGGTCAAAGAACCATTTGGTTTCTTTCTCTGGTGCAGCATGGGCTGGAAAACAACGGGACCAAAACTGTTGGGTGTGACATTTATTAAAATGCATCTGGAACGTGTGAACTGGCGAAGACAGAGTGTAGAGATTCCAAAAATAGCGAGCAATCAGCAGCACTGTGCGTGACGAACTTTTATTCTTCTTCTCCTGACGAAACAGAGAGAAGTTTATTTTTAGGCATCAAACTTCTTCAGAAACAAGGAGGCGGTGAGCGCGTCTGGAGGAAAGTGTTTTAAAAAAAAAAATAAATAAATAATGTAACCTTGGCCACTCGCTCTGGTCAGATGAGTGACTCACAGACCTTAACATAAAGGAAATATTGACGTCTGCCGACAACAAGAAACGGAGCGGTACAAAAGTACGTCCATTGTTGTGTACCTAAAAGAAGTTCTCTGTCTGCACCGATACTGAGAACTGCATTGATATACAGGATACGTGACCGTGACTGTATATATATTAACCCTTTACGGACCACCCTCCCTCCACTGTATTACCCTTTCCTACATTCAACATCATCGCCACAAAATGTCTTTTAAATGATTTTTTAACTATTTTTTTTACTGTTTAGGCTAGAAAATTATTATTATATAATTTTCATAACAAAAATAATCAAAATATTGGAAATGTATACATTCTTATACTCCACAAAAACCCATGATAGAGCGAAAAATCCACCGCGATACAGCGAAGGACGACTGTATATGTGTGTATATATATATATATATATATATATATATATACACACATATTCTCATACACACCTTTGCAGATAGGTAACTTGGCAGAGCCATTTAGCTACTACACAATCATACAAAGAATCCTGGGGGCAGAGTGTAGTTTTAGCTAACACACACACACACACACACACACGTCTGATTTCCAGTCCAAGAAAAGAAGTAGGACCGAGGAACCAGAGGCAATTAGTTGAAAAACGGTCGATACAGAAATAGGACTTGTTCGCTGCTGCCAAGTCAGCCCGAGAAAGAGACGGGAACAGAGGAATTTTTTTTTATTATTATTTCAGGCTGTAAAGGTTGGCAAAGCAAAAGTACATAAATGTGAACAGAGTTAGAAAAAAAATCAGTGTTGTGAGTGGGCTAAACAAGTGAAGTGAATCTGAAGACACAGCAGAGAAAAAGATGAGTAACAAGGACAAGTGATGAAGAGGACCAGGGAAGATGTGAGGAGGCGTGTCAGTATGAACGCAGGAGTTAAAGTAACATAATTCCAGGCATTCTCAAGGGTCATGGAAGGAGTTCCAGGGGATTCAAAGAGACTGTAGTTGAACAGATATATTGATCAGATGTATATTTCCCACTGCCGGAGTCAATATATCTTCATCACAGACGTCACTGTCCTCCTGCAGGGTTCACTTCACTGACTGTAGGAAACCTTCCTTATCTTCCTGTGACATTTCCACTATCTCAGGACCCCGGCTAATCCTCCGGTGTCAGTCTTTCCCAGACTTAAGCTCCGCAGATCTGACTGTTTGCCACCAGCTGAGACATATTTATCTGCTAAAACCTGGAGGAAGGGGTTCACTGTAGGTCACGCCACGACAGGAAGTCACAAAGTCCCAGTTTATTTATTTAAGGTATGAAAATGTTGAAATATTTGAAGTCTAAAAAATGTATTAATGAACCAGATGGTGATGAACACAAACAGCCTGACATGAATTTGAAGAGAAATAAAATCCCTGTCGCTGCAGCGTTACCCAGAGTCTGGCCTGATTTTCTGGTGGTATCCGCCCCCGTTTATCCTTTTACGACCCCCCGCCCCCACCTGGTCTGTGCCTGGAGTCGTCTACAGGGGAGGCTGTGATTTGTAGACGACAAACAGATATGGCTGATTGTGGAACTGTGGCACTAAATCACAACAAACTGTTTATCCTCGACAGAATGAGTGACCACGGTGTTTTGATCCAACAAACGGCTCGCCCGCTGAGGCCGTGATCCGAGTCCACACCTCATCCACAACTGCCTCCAGCTCAGCGAGATTCTCCCAGGTTGAACCTCTGGAGTTTCACAGGGTTCAGGTCAAGGAAAGGTCAAAAAACAAAACAAAAAAAAAACACCACATCTTCTTCTGGTCAGAGTCCGTAAAGAAGATTCCAACACATCTTCTTCTAGTCGAGTCAGTAAAGAAGCTTCAAACTCTTCCATTTGAAAGTTCAGTCAAACTAATTCAAATTGTCCATTTATAAAAGTACAGTGGAACTATTTCCTATGGTCCGTACTGTAATAAACATAGCAACTATTTGTCATTACACGTGCAGTACACAGTACTCACATTCATACTGTTTACATCCTCCATCAATTGACAATAAAGCAGCAACTGCCCTGCTCGCCCCGTCCCATTATCTTTGCCGATCGGCAAGGTCGCAGGTGATGTCAACACGAGCCAATGAGACGTCACGTGTTCTGACTGTTGTGGTGAGTGACAGCGGCGGCAAATGAAAACCGTGTAAACAACACGGATTAAATCAATATTTATGCTGACTGCAGGCCGAGGCTGCGGTTTTATCTGCAAACCTCTTACATCATCACACTGACAGTCAAGAGTGTGATTGACAGCTGATGTCAGAGTCCAAACGGTACATTAAAACAGAACAGTAAAAACAAACAGGCGCAGCAGAAACAACCTGAGGAGAAACGCCAACGTCCTGTTGACGTTTCTCCTCCACTGGTTCATGACTGGTGTTGTTCCCAAAGTCATTCAGGCCGAGCCCTAAGTGCAACCGACAAATAAAAACAAACGTGAGGGATTATGGGACCTGGAGTGTGTTAAAGCCAATATATATTATTCCTTTTATTCAATACGGCTTAACGGGGAAACTTTATATCGACGTGAAGTACTGAGAAGTACTGAGCCAAAGAGAGAAAACTTTGCATTTACTTCAAGCCAAAAGTAGCGCTGTGTCTATTGGCAAGAATCTGGAGATACGATACGCATCACAGTACAGGGTCAACAATAGGAAATATTGTCATATAATCTAACTGTAAACAAGGTAACTGTAGAATTAGACTGGGAATTATTAATTAAAAAAAAGATTCCTAAGATTGTAGAATTAGACTGGGAATTATTAATTTTAAAAAAATCATACAGTGCTGTAGGATAGTAACATTGTATTGTGAAATGAAATCTCGCGATATTTCAGCATATGGTTCTCTGTTTCACAAAGACGTTTTATCTTGTGAACCTCGACCCTTGGGTCACACCCTCTCCTCCTCCACACGAGCCGTCTGCCTCAGCCAGAAAAACATTTGACCACAGCTCTCTGATCTTCACGTGACTGTCTCTGGGTCTCATCGACTCACTCGCTTAATCAGGGCTCCAGCGCCCCTTATCTTTACACTCACACATTCAACAGTCTGTGTGTGTGTGTGTGTGTGTGTGTGTGTTAGAACAGTGCACTCTGACGGGACTTCATCAATGACATGCAAATGTAAATTCAAACTGACATCAGGATAAGGACAGTTCTGTTAGGGGAAATAACAACGACAGTGTTTGGTTTTAGAGTTTATTGCCTTCACTTCACTCTGCTGCAGGCTCCACCGTGATACTCTGTGTGTGTGTGTGTGTAAATACACACACCAGGGTTCGTCATGACTCCAATTAGGGAGAATTACATGACATGCTGCTTTAGGAAAAGTGGGTGAAGGTGAGAAAGACGGAGGCAGAAATCTGTAGTTTTCTACAAAAAAAAAAAAACATTAAAAAAATATTCTGGTGAAATTTAAAATGGTGGTTCTCAAAGTAGAGGGCGGGGACGCCCTATGGCACATGCACTCATGAAAAGGGGTGCAGCAGGGCTAATTAATTTAAATTAGGTTTTTATAATGTGTAGATCCGGGATGAGTGACTCTGGCGTGCAGGGAGAGGTGGTTTTGACGTCCTCCCAACATGACTACACCCAGTTTTAACAAACAGCAGCCGTCAGACGGGCGTCGAAGGTTTAATTCAACCTCATCAACCTCAGTCACTCAAACACAGCCATCACAACACCTGATGTCACGTGAAAGAAACCAGTTTTCCTGTTTATGCTGTGTGTAAATATTTTTAAAATCCTGACTGCTCAATTATTATCATATATA